TGAAGTTTTGCTTTAATGAATCCCTTTCTTCTGCGATAGCCACAAACAGCTGCTGAAGCTTCTGTTACTATCTGAACAGGCCTTTCAACTGCTTGTGTGTGACATGACATGCTGAACTTGAAAACTAGCATGTCATCTTGATTAATGAAAGACACCAACTGTTTATTGCTTATATTTTCTGTAAGTGGTGACTCTACTCTCAGTCTACATTATTAGATCAGTATAATGTTGTATTAATATATGGAACGACAAATTGTCTCATTGTGATAGAATTTGAAGTAGATTGAGTAGCTAATATTCAACGAAGAGCAAGTTGTCTGATAGCCTTAGATTCATCTCCAAGCATTGCTAGCAGCAACGTTTATGAGTAGGCAAAATATAAATTCTCCGGATTACTCTATCCACCACATATTTCTAGGAAGAAAACGTGATTTTCTTACAAGTAGAAAAAGCGGCAGTGAGCCTGGCTGCATGAGGGATTTTTCTTGATATGAAACCAAACTGTTGCAGCATACACTTAAATTACATATTTCGCTAACAAACTAAGCTTCTTGGATGTGTTAGAAGTTGTGTTATAAAGACGAATCCTGTTTGCTGTTATTAACCAGCAGGAATAGTTCATTGTACCAGAATCACGTAAAGCAAGTTCTCTCGAACTATGACCTGACACTACCACATTGCACATTTCATACAAATACTTTTGATCTATACTAAGGTCCTCAGGATGGTCAATTGTCAGTAATGGCTCTGTAATTTCAACTGAAACAAAGTTTACTAAAGGCAATGATCCACAAGTCTTCAGTTTCTTTCCAAGAGGACCAGAAAAAGTGGACGTTCCTAGAGTTACTCCATCAAGATGCATAATTAGATGATGCAGGGGTAACTCATTTGCATGTAACAAACAAATTAACTAATAAACATGTCTTCCTAAGTGCAATTCAAGAAGATGCAAAACTCCAGCTTTTTTTCCAATAACTGATGTAAGTGCCATCACAGCCTACAGCGACTAAATGATCAGATGAAATTTTTATTATCTTCAAACCACTGAATGATAAAATTTTTTATACCTTCTGATGTTCCGGAAGAAGGAGAAATGTGATCCATGAAAACTGATTCAGATTCACTGATCAAAGTTATGTGCTGTTCCATGACTACACATTTATAATATTTTTGTCCATTTTTAATGATAATTTTAATTATCTTTTCTGTCATCAAAGTAGATAGGTTTAATATAATTAGATTAATCAAAAGTCAATAATGTTTCTCGTTCTTGTCATATCTTGTTTTTGTTGACAATTTTAGCATTGTCATTTTCTTGAATAATGCCCATATCTTCCAAAACAACTGAGGTAAAGGCTGCAACAGCTGTATCCAATTTACAGTTTCTGTTGGCTTCTCTCACAACCGTTGGAAGGGGTGTCCTTATTTGTTTACTTATTTTAGCATTTGGGGATTTCGATGTAGAAAGTGCAGTATTAGCAACATCAGAATTTTCTGAGCTTGAAACCATTGAGTCCTCGTGATTAACTATTTCATTTGGTGGAGAGATGATACACTTTTTTTCCAAACTTTGGTTCGCTTATGGCAGTTGAAGATATAATTGGATGAGTTTCATACTACATAAGATTAATTCTTATAATAAAAAGCAACTATTGCATACCCTGCCAACTAGCAATTACAAAACAACAGTTTTGACTAAGTAAATTCTATGCACCCCAATATACAGTTCTTCAAGCACACATCTTGTGAACCAGTAGCAGCTAATGATTGCTGCTTTTACATATACATCAATTGGGTAACATCTCTTAGCTGAATTATGAATCAGTAAATTGTTTGAATTTATTATATACACTTCGCAAATACAGTTTTATTTCTATTTTAGTAAATCTGCTCCAACCAATGAGTCGGAATATTTCAAAAACACAAAAAGCTATGTAATAAACATTACAATTTTCTTAAAATAAAAGATCTCTTCCAACCATGATTCAGATTACAAAATTTAATTTAGCTAAAAAGTAAAATCACTAACATAACTTGGCACATTGCTGTACTTTATACAAAGATTATAATGATATATGACTGTTTACTTGACAAGGTCAATTATTATAAATACTGATAGAATGCCCATCACTAATGGGTACGTACATTAAAAAGAATGGCATATCTCATTCTTGGAACTTTGGGTAACTATGTAAAAAAATGCTCATAACCTTAATGACAGTGCACTTGATGGTATCCATATTCTGTTATTGAACTGTAGAAAATCAGAAAGAACCTATCATTTTTTGTTTCACTTGAAAATACAAAAAGAAAACAATGCAGGAAAAATTACTTTTCATAGTGGAGTCTTCATCTTCTCCATCGCTGTTAATAACCAGTGTTCCCAAGTCAGACTCCACATCACTAGCTCCAACTAAAGTCCCAGAGTCCACATGGGTCACCATAGTTCCATTTTGCTCTCCCAATTCCTTTATATTACTATCTGGCACTAATGTTCCAGAGTTGGGAGCATACTCAACCATGGTCCTAGAGTCAACCTCATCTTCTTCCTACATAAAGAAAATACACAGTCAGTGTTTAGTAGTACCTCCAAGCTGAGAGTAATTAACTCCTGATCCTAGAATCCTCATCCAAACAAAATTTGGTTACATTCCAGCAGTAAGGTCTTTGTAACAATGACTGCACATTTTCTTGTATGGATGGGGATTTTGTTACCTAAAAGACAAGACTTTGTTAATTGGAAGTTTGGTACTCATAATCAGTAATTATCATTTATAACTGTTTTCCTTGTTATTAAAAAAAAATATATCAATAATGTGATGTTTAATAGTAAATACTATTTAAGTATCTTTTACACATGGTACTTATTACTCTATTTCAATATGTTTTTCATATGTAAAAGCAGTGATCAAAACTTGCTATGTTTAGTAATATCAGCAGTGAAGAAAATCTGTCCATAGCTATACAGAAAAAAAAAGTCTTCAGAAATATCTACCTTCTCTACCGAACTTGTCACAGTTCCAAATAATGGCTAAAAAGCAATCATGCCATCAACTTAATTATAATTCAAATGCCCAATGGGAGTTTTCATTTCATTTGAACTTTTGCACAAAAAGAAAGGCACATGAAACTTTAAGTGCATAGAAAGTTATATTTGATTTTTAGATAGGTAGAAAATAACTTTTTACATTTTTGATGACGAGGAACCCACTTTGAGACTAATAATGGTTGGAGACGGCTTGAATGGGTAATGAAGAAAAACTTTAATATAAGTTTAACATAACAGCAACCATTATTAACTTTTTACATTTGCTGTAAATCATCAAAAACTTAACTTATGTACTTGTTTGCAGCAACTTTTCTATCTAGCTTGTATCATAAATTCCAAAAATGATGAGCTGTTTTATTAGCGTCTAAAATATGCCAATCAAATGTTTCCTTTCAACCATTTTCAAATGAAAAATAAATAAAATTAAATAACAAAGTACATTTATATCTTGTAGTTCATCAACATATTGAAATTTTTCATAATTTGGAGGGTGGTATTTATACTCCCAAATGTTTTTAAATTTGTAGTTATATGGCTTATTCTTATTCTAAAATGATAATGTAAGATTTTAGTTTAAAAAGTAGCTGAATTTTACATTTAATATTCTAAAATTCTAGATAACTATATATCTCTGCACTCAAAAAATGCATGGTTGATAATGCTGTCTTCTCAATTATATATATATATATTTTCTTTACATCGTAACTTTAATCAAATGTAAGTACTTATTCTAAAAAAAACTAAGCAAAACGGTGTAATCCTCAAATTATCAACTTGTTAATGTAATATTAACTACTGCTGGGGTCCAGAAATTGCATCATATTTAATAACTTTACATATAACAGTATGCATTGTCAAGAATTTACCCACAAAAATTAGAAGAAATATTTCATATTCCATGTAAAATACACACTGGACTGAGTGTAACAAGCAAGTCATGGAGTCGCAATCATGGCGTATAAATGATTTTGGGAACTGTTTGAAAAACTGAAGAGAAGGAACATTGTGTCAGTTCAAGTCTTTAGAAAGTGCCCTACTAGCAAGCATTAGTGGCTTAACTTTCCAGCTAATGTGGTAGAACACTCCTCTGAGGTGTGAGAGGCTGAGGCTTAACTCCAAAACAAAAACTGACACCCAACATGCAGCCTTGTTTATCAATAATGACAGATCGTGGTAGTTTGAGATGTTACAAAAAAAGATGCATACCGACCATTAGTTCAGGAACTAAAATTATGATGTGCCAAGACACTACAGAAGAGTTAAAAAAGAATGCAAATTTGTGGTTCTTATTTAAAACTTACTAATCATACAATCCCTCCAAGCACATATAAAAAAAGATGCATACCGACCATTACTTCAGGAACTAAAATTATGATGTGCCAAGACACTACAGAAGAGTTAAAAAAGAATGCAAATTTGTGGTTCTTATTTAAAACTTACTAATCATACAATCCCTCCAAGCACAAATAAATAACTTTATAGTAATAAAAGGATCAAAAATCATTATTAATAAAGTTATCAACAATCCATACAATTCAGAGATTGAAATAGCTCTTAAATGTTGGTAGACGAATCATAACATTACTCATAATTTCCAAAAATTTATAAGCCAATATTTGATACAAGAAATGTGAAAGAAAATAGAGAATGTCTGTACAAGTTATGTATATGTAAAGTTATACAGAACACTTCATAACAAGTAGTATATAGCAAAAGTATGTCACAGTCACTACATTACAGTTCCAGTTTACAACAGAAAATTATTATCAAAGAAGGTAATGAAAAATGTTGAAAAAGATTTATTACTGTGTTTATATACATTTTTAAAACTTTTTCTATAAAATATGTCTATGCTTTTTTGCACTTTGTATTAAGTAACTTAAACTATCTAAAGAGTTCGTTGATTCCAGTTCCAATGGTGTGAAAGACCAGACACATGGACATCAACCATGCCTTTCTTATGAGATCGAAGATCAAATTCTAGTTACTACCACCAAAATAAGCCTTGAAAATACCACTTGTCTACTATATATCCAAGTAATGGATGAATAAGAGTAAGTTCACCTTTTCTTTCACTCAACCAACAAAATGAATGTATTATTTCAGCTGGTTATAGTTAACTCACTTGTAACTTAATTTCAGTGCTAAAAATAAATGAGCAGACTTCAATAAATACCTTCTTTTGTTTCTGTTTATCATTAAACTGTTTCTAACCATTCATTCATTTATTAAGAAATTAGTGGGATCCTTTTGATGAATAATTCTTAGTCGGAATGAGGGGAGAATGTTACAAAACTGCTGCAGGGAATAAAGACAGTGTCTAAAGCTTTACTACATTTATCATGACAATGGAAAATGTCAGTCAGACAAAGGTTTCCAGCAGTGGATAAGGAAGAAGTGAAAGTAAGAGGAGAAATCTAAAGATCAGGATAAAAACTGCAACAGCAGAAATAAGATTCTTCAAAAAGTAAAATAAGTATTCAGAAGACCAATTAGCAGAGACTGATTCAGATGACTTCGAGGATGAGTTCAGGTGGGGGGTTATTTCATAAAGCTTGTCGCAAACACTCAGCAATATCAAAGGATTGACCCCGGTAAAGAGTATTAGGGAAAAATATTAGAAAAGAATCATTAAAATTTTGTGATAAAAGCAGGACCTATACTCAGTGTATGGAACATAAAAAAGATCTTTAGATGGTCCAAATAGTAGAGAATTTTATAAATCAACCAAAAGAAGAGAAAAATAGAGAAAGGTTTAAGAGAAACATTTTAACACAGCCAATTTTATTGCACTGAAAGGCAATATTGTTTGGAAAACCTTGTAGGACAAATAAATATTTAGATCACTTGCACTGCAAGATAAATGGCCATTACAAAATATTCAAGCTGTGCACATACAGTCCTTCTCAAGACTTTCCTAAAGTTGGTAGCAAATTAGCTATTAAACTTTAAAATATACACTAATTAATAATTTATCTAGTACAGAAAAGTAATAAAAACTACTAACATTAAAAATGGTTAAAATTTTAACTGTAGTGAAAAGAACAAAATGTGAAACTTAAAAAGTATTTAGCCTCTAATCAATTGGGAAATATTTCAAAACTTTTGTCTTGAGGTTTCTTTATTACTTACCTTTGACCTCATCTGACCTCACCATTTTCAAAAATTTAACACTACTATTGTAATTTAGATTTCATAAGGTTAAAGCTTAGCATACTTTCATTCTGAAATGTTGGCTTTTGGCTGTGCTCCTTTTCAAAGTTGAAAACCAGTCAAAGTTCTTAAGACTCCTTAGGGTGGTGCAATAAATGTGAGTTCAACCAATATATTCACAGATGGATAAACAGAAAGTATATAAACATAGGCTAAAATCTGATTGTTTGTTGAATTTTGCACAAAGCTACTAAAGGGCTATCTGTACTAGCTGTTCTTATTTCAGAAGTGATAGTCTAGAGGGCAGGCAGCTAGTCAACACCAATTCTTGGGCTACTGTAAGTACCTCTGCCACCAAAGGTGACGGAGGTTATGTTTTCACCTGTGTGTGTTTGTTTGTCAGCAATATTTCTCGAAAACAGCTGAATGGATTTAGATGAAAGTTGGTATACATTTGGATTATGACCCAATGTAGAAGTGATTAGTTTCTGAAGTGTCAAGGTCATGGAAATGCAAAAAATCCCTATCTGTTGCCATGGAGACTGATTTTTCACACTATTTTTGCTCTACAATTCAGTCAAAAATGATCAGATTTTGTTGAAATTTGGTGGATATATGTAGAATATTATTCCTCATTGTCATGCCAAAAATGTTCATATTTTTTGAGGGCCAAGTATGATCAATGCTGCATGGCAGACCTATGCGCTCTACTGAATAATGAGATTGATTGTCACTTTATAACATCCTAAAGCCCAAAAGGGTGAGCATGTTTGATGATGGAATTCAAACCTGCAAGATTTTGAGTTAAATGCCCTAACCACCAGACCATTTATGAGAAAAATATAAGTTTAAGAGCCAACAAAAAAACACAGTAGTAGTGCAAGGTTATTAAGACACCTAAATACATATTATATTTTTGATTCACAAAATATACCAGATAAGATTATATAATGCTAAAACATCATTCTTCAGCATTTTTTGTAAAGTATTGATGAAACAAAAAGAATTTGAAATTAAATTTTGAAGGCTGATTTGTGAGTGTACACTCAGAGTGACCTGAACATCACTTGTCAGGAGATGGTTAAATGAACTATGTTTATATGACTGTTTTAACCTAGTTTTCTACTTGTTATATTAAGGAGTTCCAATAATGTAAGTTAAGTCTTATAAACACAACTTAAGAAGCTATCTATTTTCATACCTTCAAAAGCTACATAAAGATATCCTTTTTCAATACTCAACTACAATACAAACTTACTGATTCCATAGTGTTAGCCCTGTCCCTCCGATGAGCTTCATTTTCTTGAATCTCTCTAGCTTCAGCTATCATCTGTTGCAGGATATTAACAGGCTGAGCATTTTTAATAAATTCGTGCTGTAAAAAAAAAAAAGGTTTGCAGTTAATGTACATTCCAACAGTGAAGTTCAACCCACCAACTAACAATACTATACATCCACATATTGTTACACCATTTTTAAAGCTTACAAAAACACTATATTAAATATATGTAAATATATTTTAAGTTTTATGCTAAGTTATTTCATGAAAGAAAATATGAGAAAAAAGTAAATACAATATTTTTTCAAAGGAGAAGAAACCTATGACAGCTCTTCTGTAGGAATTACAAAGAACAAGTCAATAACATAATTCTTTAGCATGATCCAAGACAAAGGAACATAACACTGTTCTTATTCTTGGTTTAGAATTTTTTTTAAGTAGAAAGAATGGGAAGATAGTCATTCTAAAGAAGCAAACAGTTCTTTCTGTTTGATACATGTGGTTACAAACATATGCTATTTGTCATACATGTGAAAGACTGTATTCAGTCACATGTCACATTACAATTTTCAATACTCCTAAAGAAAGCAGGAACATATTATCTAAAAAGAGGCATTTAGCAGCATAGTAATAGATCATTAATTTGTTGTGATCATTTGAAAAATAAACAGAAAAGATGACAGTGAAAGGTAATAAAATGAAATTGAAAATGTTTCAAGCTTCTTTTTTTATAGTTTCGATAACTCTGCTAACATAATGCAAGTATTTGCAATGTTAAAGAATAAATGTTTTCTTGCTACTTCCCTGTAATAATGCATCATTTTAAGCACACATGTGATTCACATTCAAAAACTCATTTGTATGTGTGAATCACCACACACATACACACACACACGTTTTCTCACGAAAAGGCCTGAAGCAAAATTAAAAATGTATGCAAGAAGATATTTCTTAATCATAAGTTTCAATGAAAAAGAAAACAAAACTGTAACATACATGCAGATACATTAGACTACCAAACATAATGGAACAGTACACTCCCAACTGAATTTACATACAGATCAGCCTATCAACTATATACAGAAAGTTCCTTGCTGTTATATTTTAAGAATGGTTGCAGTTCATACCTTACTTGGTCATCATCACTGAATGATGATTTGAGTGTAAAAATTAGGAAAAGGAAAATGAACTTTGATACTCATTGCATCCTTTGGATGGACAGGTCTGGGTTTGACAACAACCTGGTAAATGCTACAGATGTGGGCTAGTACTATTTGAAATTCTTTACTCCACAAGTAGTGGACAAGGAAACCGTGAATGGCATAAAACTGCATAATATACTAAACAATATTCCAGTGTCTATAGTGCTGGAATTCCATGGAGAAAAACAATACCCCTTTCAGCACTATGTCCAGGGTTCATTCCCTTGAACGAGACTCAGATTTAACACTATTTCAAGGCTTTATAAACGCTGCCAGGGGCCAGTTTTCAAAGTCATTTGAGCAACAATATACACTTGTTCATCTATGTGTACATGAAGAGTTTCTCTGAAAGGATTTATGTGTGTACTACACTGTGGAATAAAGATTTACTTTATATGTATATTGACTTTCATGAAGTATGTTCATTTTATTACATATTGATATCTAGTAATAAAGACATTGAAGTTTAATTGTATGCCAACTGATGAATAAATGAAACTGCACTCGCTATGGTAGTATTATGTAAATAGGTTGTATTATCTAACTTTAAACGGATGAAAATGCTTCCTGTTCAAAGACATTTTCTGTAGCAGTGTAAGCAACTCATTACCTGAAACCACTGACATTTGACATATTTTGAGCAAGTTATAGTTTAAAATAAACAAATTGCAATAACTAATCATAATGACAAAACAAATATAGTATGTACACACCTATTAATATCTAATTATAATTAGCACTATCACCCATAATGATAACATAGATTATGATGTTATGAAGTATGTACACACTTACTGATATCTAACTATAATTAGCACTATCACCCATATTGAAAACAGATTATGATGTTATGAAGTATGTACACACTTACTGATATCTAACTATAATTAGCACTATCACCCATATTGAAAACAGATTATGATGTTATGAAGTATGTACACACCTGTTGATATCTAACTATAATTAAGAATCTGCCTTGGCTAGCTCATAGTTAATGCTGGGAATGCTTTGAGTGCTGCAAGACAGACAAACCACAAAATCTTATTATGCTTGGAGAAGTTTTGCAAAAAGTGTGGTAATATATTCTGCCAAACCCAGGTCAACTCGCCATTTAAACGAGTCCCTGCAATGAAAAGCAATACTCTCTCTTGCAAAATATGCTGTTCCAATACTTTTGTGTGCTCTTATAGGACTTGTTATAATAAAGACATACAATACAGTCTTATTAGGTTATAACCATAACAACCAGACAGAAATAAATCTAACTGTAAAAATATTTTGGATAACATAGTTTACCTGTAATAATTCTGATGCAGTTGCCCTTTCATCAGGATTTTTTACCAAACAACGTGAAACAAAATCAATGAATTCTGGAGTCCATCTGTCAGGGTCCCTGAAGGATGGTGGTGGTTTTGTAGGAATCATAAATATTGCCTGAAAAAATACAAAGCAGAAAATGAAACTTAAATAAGATAAAGAAACAATAGCACATTAATCAAAGAATTAATTTAATTACACAACTGACAGGTGCTCATTATTTCTAATGTAGATTTAAAAAACACTAAAATCTGCAATAACATGTGAAAATCTAACATATCTCCAATTGCACCATAACATTAAGCAGCAGAAACAATTAACTTTTTACTATTTGTACTTATTTGCACTTAGCTCTAAATTGTACCTCTCTAATGAGTAGAAAATATAACAATTTAGACTACATATAAAATGGATTACAATCAATATAACACCTAGGTTAAACAAGGAATGCCTTCCAAACTCCACATCCTCAACATAATAGTAATATTTTTGTACTGGCCAGTAAAATAGGTTTCTACATAATACATAAGTTGTTTTAAAACTTTTTTGAACTTTGCATATTTTTAATTGGACTACAGTGTAACTGCTTAAAACAAGTCCAAGTACAAATAAACTATCCTATAGGATGAATTATGACTCACATTAGTTGCATAAACTAGGTAATCTCAATGACACATCAGTATGCATGATATGTAACCATGCAACATCGTACTAAAATGCTAAGAAATAAAGGAAACATGTATTATATAATGTCTGATTTACAGTAATTTTTGTAGTTTTTCAATGCCTACTCATCTCCTACCCACTATTTCAACTATTAATATGCTGTAGAGGAAGGATGGCAAATAATTATCTTCAAGTTAAAATTCAGTTGGCTAAGCTCAGCAACTACTTTAATTTTAAATAATATTTACTGTGATTCCTAAAAGTGTTTCTTGTTTGACATTATCACCGTTCAGGGTTCATTAATTTTCTATTCATTTCAATGTATTTTGAAGATAAGTGAACAAGAAAAGGGTATTAAATTACAATACTGATATAGTTTTTTTTTTGATCTGGCGTTTGGTTAGAGCTAATTGTACCAGTGATGTAGGATGTTTACAATTAAGATTTTAATATAATAATATATTTGTACTTCTTATTAATTGTTTCAATCCAGGCTCGGTCCCTGGGACCGACCTCGTAACCATTTTGTGCTTGTTATAGTTTTCATGCTATAACTTTTAAATTAGTAGGCGAATATTAATGAAATTTGGCAGTTTATTAGTAAACATTACAATGCTTTCATACCCAAAATATCTAATTTTTTTATTAAGTCTTAAGGTTTGTAAAGCAATGTTTCTCTCATGACTTTTTTCCTTTCACATCTTGCCTATATATCATGCAAAGTCATTTTAATTTTAAGATTAAAAAACTTTTATGCATCAGAAAATTTCAAAATTTAAACATGTGAAATCTTTATAATGTCCGGATAGTTATCAAACATTTCTTAAGA